GTAGGTTTATTTAATATAAGCAAGATATTAAAATATATTATTTTCTTAGTTCCAATTTTGAAAAATTAATATTTGTCATAAGTGTAAAAATATTGCTTAATCCGGACCTGTCCAAAGTATGCGCGGTCAGATTACCTTGCACACTCCATTTCCCCGCAATTTGGCTTCATCGGTTCCCGTGCTTTGGGATAGGAAACGTATACTCTAGGTGTTCTGTGTGTAACATAATTGATGTCACAATATTCCACACACATTTCCACAGGTGTAATTTAATTTAGCAGCCATATGAACACCCAGTACACGTATTTTTGTATGTTATGTGTAGTTCTGAAAGTGTAGGTTTTTAGGAACTAGTTATAATCATATGAATTCACCGTACTTACGTATATTGTTTAAATAACAACAACCTTGAGATGCATACTCTGTAAATATCTTAGCTTAGATACAGCACCTGTATATTGTAAATACGTAGTGTTAAGGTATATTGGAATAAAAAAACACTTATTTCCAGCATTATAACCAACAATGTACCTAATTTTAAGATTAACCTTAAAATGTTTTTGACATCACACACCGCTTGTTGCATGAAACACGAAATATAATTTCATAGAAATCATAGAACCATAGTCTAAATAAGATATTTGGGAAATAGAACCTATGAACACTGAACAAAGAGATAGGATATTAAAGAACAATTATGTTTATACAAAAGTAGGGATTTTTAATTGTATAAAGTTCTAACCAGTTTAGTACGGAGTGAGAGCCAATCATAGCGATTGTATTTTTTTGGAACTCCAGTTCTTAAAAACCAGAGACAAGGCCCTGCTTGGCCATTTTCCATTCTGACTGTGGCTGGTGGAAAGTATTAAGTTTCTAGTGATTTCGAGCTAAAGCAGCCATTTTGTGCAAAATCACGTTGAATCTACATCATCATACACCGTGAAACGGTAATTATACCAATAATTAAGTAGATAAATTCAGATGTTCATCGATTTGTACATAGTTTGTAAATATATTTTAGTAGTGAGTAAGCACGTTTCCCCAAATATCTATTTAGAACTAATTAGATTTTTTCCTCCCATGTCGCGTTTTAGAAACCAGCCAGATAGTGATAATTAAAGATGGTGCTAATTTCAATCAAAGCTAGTGATAATCAAGCTAGTACTGATTTCAATCAAAGCTAGTAATAATCAAAGCTAGTGCTAATTTCAATCAAAGCTAGTGATAATCAAAGTTAGTACTAGTTAAACCACTGTAAATGCCATAAGCCGAGGCAAATTGCTAAATTGAGGACCTCTAATATCCAGTTTGAAAACCCAGGCAACTAGAACGCAACTTAGGTGACCATTGCAACAAGTCGAGTGTGAGATGAGGCTACATAACCCGAGAGGACTGTAAGACACCTCCACCATCGTCACAGCCACCACGAACTCCGGGTGAGGGTTGAATAAAAATTTGAAACACAGTAGTGTTCTGGTTTTTTAATTTTTTTAGTAACATGTTTATGTACCTTTATATTGTCCCCATCCCATACCTACTGGGGTATCGGGGGAAAACGAGAAATAATTAAGGCTTTATTCAGTAGGTTGGCGCCCTAATTAACATTATTTTATTTACATATTTCTCGTTCCGTCCCGGAACTAAAGACCAATATAACTAGAGTAGAGATATACAACATCAGAAAAAACAAAAGCGGACTACGGCCCAACTGCACTCCGCCCAATGAGCTGCCGTTAGCCCCTTCAGCTGTGCACAAAAAATAAGAGCTGATAGGTGTAACATGTGTTACAGACAGTAAACATTTTTCTGAGTGTAGGCCGAAGTGAGACAAGACCTCCGATTTTTCCGGCTTTCCGGACACTTCCTTTCGAAGAGGCGCGCCGTAATTCCCTCCTCCTAATCCGGAATCGGGTCGCGACTTCGCGTCAAACGAAAGGGAATTATATTAATATAAATTCAAATTACGGCACGGTTCCGCCTCAAAGGAGAAACGTTATCGGATTCAAAAGAAATTTTCACGGATCCGTAATGGCGTTAATTGTGACATAAAAAGGATGTGAGCACTCGTCATTATGGAAGGGGGCGAGGTAGGGGGGGGGGGCGACGAAAAAAAATCGGCGGCAAAGGGAGCGCCGGCCGAGAGTGCACTTAGAATAATATGATTAAATGGGTTTTGGAATCGATACAGAGTCAGGGCCGTGATTTTCTCGCTCTCCATTTTTTTTATGACTGCCGACTGCGGAGGTGGCCGGCGATAATCTAGTTAGGGGGCTTTTAAAACGCGAATCGTACATGCCCGTCCACAGGGTGATGTATTTTCGAGATGCCTTCGTTGGCTTGGAGCGTTAGAAGAGAGTTGACGCATCGGCAACTCCCATAATATTGTCTGAAGTTGTTTGTTTGTGCCGTAGTTTTCGTATTTTTCTTTATTTATTGGGAATTTTGCTACCAGCGAAAAAATTTGTGTGCCAAACACATTTCTTAACTGTTACTTTTTATGAAAATATCATTTGCAGCCACTATAATTCGTTTTTGTTACTGTTATCTACTGTGAATTACTTCGCAGTAAATCCGTTGCTTTAAAAATCTCCATAAAAATAAATCTAGTGGATTTAAGTAGGTACTTCTTGGGGGCCATCACACAGGACCAAATGGGCCAATCCATCTACCACCAAAATGATTATTTAACCACTATGACATGAATCTGGTATTGTGAGGAGGTGCACCATCGCATCGTGTTGGAAGAACATTTGTTGTCTAATATTACGCAAAAAATTCTTGATTTAAATGTACAAGATTTGATTTTAAGGTATCGCACCAATCGCACGTTTATATACAGGGTGTTCCTAAATAAGTGTCGCAACGGAAAACTGAAATTTCTCTTGAAAAGAAAAACATTTTTTTCCTCTTTCATTTATTTCTCCAGGCTTTCGTTTTCGAGATTCACGGTGTCAAAACTTTTTTTCAGATTTTTGCCAATACCTTAGGAACCGTTTGAACTACAGGACTGAGCTTGTGTACACACATTACCACTATTAATAGCTACTTGTTGCAAATGTTGCTAAATTTCGTTAAACTTGTTAATATTATTACTATCTATCTTTTGAATTACAAAAGATTTTTGAAACGTTAGCAAAATGTTTGTTTTTGTTCATAAAAAGTCATTTTTCTTGAAAACGGTTGAGTTTAGAGCAATGAAACAAGAGAACTCTTTTTGTGTAAAATTCATTGGCGCTTCATAATTTGCTGTCAGGTGTCAATTTTTCCAGTGGCGTAAAAGTTAGGGGGGAAAAACCCTTACGATACCTTAAAATCTCCACCACTGGCACGTTCAATGAATTCAAGAAGGGTGCGAAAAAGTAGCTATTAATAGTGGTAATGCGTGTACAAAAACTCAGTCCTGTAGTTCAAACGGTTCCTAAAATATAAAAAAATGTAAAAAAAATAAAGTTTTGACACCGTGTATCTCGAAAACGAAAGCCCGGAGAAAAAATGAAAGAGGAAAAGAATGTTTCATTTTTCAAGAGGAACTTACAGTGTTTCTTTGCGACACTTATTTAGGAACACCCTGTATACGCAAGAAAATATTTTTTTCTTTCAAGAAAATTATTTATTTATTTAAATACTCTAAATTTCCACCCAGAAATACAAGTTCTTACTTTAAAAATAGGTAGTTTCAAACTCACAACGCCTAGTACAACAGCTAGGATTGTTCGTAAGTTTAACCAATCAGATATAGGTCGGTCCTCATCATTATGTCGTTAGAAGGATCCAGCTGCTTTAGTGTCGTTACTCACAAGGAGATGTGTATACACAGAGCGTAAGTACTAGCTCCATCTATCGCGCTACTCCCCACCTACGCCATTCTGTGACCTACAATATTCATTCAAGAAAACATAAGTTTGATTATAATATCCTACATTTATCTTGAATAATTCCTACATTAACACTAAATTTTAAATGTATATATTTTAAGGAAATTGTAGTTTTGAAACAAATATGTTTGTAGCTTATGATGAACTGTAAGAGATATTGTAGCTAAAGTCCGAGATAATAAATTTCAAAACTATAAAAGATTTGAATTAAATTATATGTATTTACAAATCGCCACGGTAGCGCAGTCGGTCGAGAGTGCGGTGGCAAGCATTTCTCGGTTAGGCTTCCTACTCTGGTCCGGGTTCGATCCCCGGTGTCGACACTGGCAATGTCGATGGATAATGGGTGTTTGTCCGCGTTTTTTCAAGTGTAGCCCCCTTCCGCACAAGCCTTTGGCTTTTGGATTTGGGGGTTGTCTGATTTCTGTGGTGTGTTTTATGTTTTATGTTAAATAATGTAAATTCTAAGAAAAATTATAGATTACAGCAAATATTTCACATAATTTGACGAAAGTATATATACTTGAATAGAATAAAATAACATTCATGGCAAATAATTCCATTTAAAACTATGTGCTCATTTCTGCACTTTTTCAGTGCAGGAGATGGTGTTGGAGAGGCAAAAGGCATTAATTAAACTTTTCACTTCTTACTTAATTGACAGAAAATTTACAGTCAGATATCAAAATCTCACTTTGAGGCCATTTTCTCCCACATCGAGCAGCAGTCCACAAGGTTCCAATTTGGGCCCTATATTATGTTTATTCTTTATTAGCGATCTTCCTGAAGTCAGCACTTGTGATCATTACTCATCGTGATCATTTGATGACGTTTTTAAATTAAATTCTAAAATAAATTCTTCTATAGATCTTATTCATTCTATTGTTTTCATGTTATGAGATCGTCCAAAAGTCCATCCATACTAATGTCATTAGTAGATTTGAAGTGTTTAAGGGTTTGGGTATATATTTTGACAGCAAGCTCATTTCTAACGATCATATTAATCATGTTGTGCTTGGTACTTTTAAATCATAGGGTTTCATATGTCACAACTGCAGGTACTTTTAGGAACTTAAATTAAGTTAAGGATCACTTTTCATGTAACGCGCTTTTCCGTTGTTTCAGGCTATGGTAACATCTTCCCCCGCACCCCCCAGGGAAAGATAACCACCATAGTTTACGCCATAATAGGGATGCCGCTGTTCCTACTGTACCTGTCCAATATCGGCGACATTATGGCCAGGTCGTTCAAGTGGATATACGCCAACTGCTGCCTATGCAGGTGGTGTCCGGGGGTTGCCAAGAGGAGAGCGGAGAGGCGGATCAGGAGAGAGCAAAGGCTTAGCTTGGAGTATGGCAGCGAAGAGAGCGAGCAGTCTAGTGAAACCTGGGAGGTGAGTCAGTCTACTTGGTTTATACGTAAAGTAACGTTTTCGATTTGGTATAATTATTTATTGAGAAAGAGGACAATATTGAAAAGAAAAAGGATAAAAGTGTAAAAATTTTATATGAAATGGTGGTTGTGACAAGAAACTTTCAATTGTCATGCACTAACGTCCCGTACGTTCGTACGGTCATCATCAGCAATTTCTAAAATTTGTTCCTATGCTTGTAACATACGGAATAGTCCAGCGTGAAATGTCTAGGAAAAAATCATGCGTAACGACGCGATGCGTCCACAGCGTTTTGCTGCCATTCACCGTAGATTAACAACGTATTAAAGAGTTCATTAATGTCATGGTACGTTCCTGATACAGTTTATTTAATTACTAATACAACACAACACTAGAAATACTGCCCAGAAAAAAACTATGATTTTTTTAAAGTCCTGTACTGAGAGAAGAAATAATTAACTGTATGTTCATTTCGATTCGAGTTTTACGTGTTTTGCAATGAAACATAAGTTTGATAAAATTGAAACATTAAACATTCGTCATATGTTAATAAAGGGACAAGAATATTCTTTAAAAAAAAACTCGATCAATAAATTATGGTCAAAACTGTTCCAGTGGTGTGGGATGTCGAATAATACTCATGAAACGTAAGATCTCCAGATACATTAACCAATCTTGAAAGTTGAAATAATTATACTATTACTAAAGTATAGATCTAAACCAGTTCTACTTGGTATGGAAGCTTTAGGGACTTGTAGTGTAAGGTTTCCTTAGAGTTCCTGGTATGGAAGCTTTAGGAGCTTTTATTTGTGAGCTCTTCTTGCAGTGCTGGATATGACAAGCTTTAGGAGCTTGTTTCCTTCAGAATCTTCCTCGCAGCCTCAGAAACTCCAGGACGGTATCTGGTTCGAGAGTTGTGGAAGTGCAGAACTCGTGAAATTTTTTAAGAAAAATTTTTAATTCAGTTTTGATTTGTAAAAAATTGTGAGATGTATTGAAATTGTCTGTTAATTTACGATAAATGAAAGCAATGGCAGTAGCTGTGTTGAGGTGATTCAGAACATATCAAAAATAGTGTTTTTGGATAAGTTCTTTTACAAATACCATTTTGTACAAAAAAAATCGCAAAATACACACAACATCTGTTCAAAATTTTGTCCACCGACATGTAAACACATTTGGGCCCGTCTTAACAGTTTCTATAAACTAACACAAATGTTGTCTTGCTTCACCATAAATTAAAACGATATCCATCAACTCCGAATTGCTATACACGTAAGCCATTTTTGACACGTGAAAAACTAAAGTAAACACTATCGCAATAACGATAATACTAAAATCGGATTTCACTATTCGGAATCGCCTGGGGCCACATGGACGAATGACGCTAGCCCAAATTTTTAGGGATAAGTTGTTAATCACCCTGTATAATGAAAAAGTAAAAATTTGGAATGTTCTAGTGTACTAGCCAGGTATTTGTCCCTGGTTAATAAGCTGCAGAGTACTCGGGTTGAATTTCGAACACAGTCCAGGCTGGCTCCGCAACGGTTCTGTAGACTTGTACGCATTGAAATTGGAAATTAGCTTGCTTGAAAAATGTCCAACTTGCAATGTGTCTTTTCCGAGAAGTTATTGAAGTCAAAATGATTTTGGTTAGTGTTGATTATGAGGCCTTGCTGGATTCCAATTCGGATTTGTAAAATTTAGAATTATTTTGTTTTCCTAAAATCCGGAACTTTGGTGAAGTTTTTCATGCTTGTATGCGTTGTCGACAATGGCTCAGCTGTTGGTAGCATGCTGTCATTATCGTTTGCTACGACTAATGGTTTTTGGTGGCAATCGAAGTTTTGTAGGAAAATTTGGAAACCCCGTGAATGCCTTAAAAGTTTATGAAATTATTTTGAAAAAAATGTATTACAAGTCCTATTATTCTGCCTCTCAAAGAGCCAATCGGGACGTTTTTATCAAAGCGTTGTTGTCTGCTTCAATACTTGCTTTATTTGTGGAAAGTATGAATGCTACAAAATGTTGATCTGGTGTCACAGTCTGGTGAGCATTCTACATGTTGGATGTGTTAAAAGTACAGTAGCTGTTCCCTAACTAGTCTCCAAACAAGAGAGTTACATCAGCCGCAATTTGCCTCTAGTTCCAGTGTTTCCTTCCACTTTCTCCAAAATTTGCCCTTCTACTTTGGGTGTGGAACCAAATCTAGGTCTTCCAAAGTCAATCAAGTGTCTTCTGTTAACGCGAAACCGCTAATGAGGTCTGATTGGTGCAGAAGAAATGATATGATTAGAATAAGTTTCGGAGTACATTCGACGAGCTTCAAGTCCATTACCATTAGCACGTCCATACAAAAAAGGTATGTCCACCATTTCTGTCTTGGTGTACAACATTATGTATGTATTATTAAATAACGTTACAACAGAGCAAATAATACCGATCAAAGTGAACCTAACATTAATGAATTTATTTGAATAGAAAATAACTCTGTATTCATAAAAAACAACATAGTTTTTGATAAGAACAGGCGATAGAGAATTAACTCGTATTTTCGTAAAATTTTAAGGGATTAAATAGATCCAAACCAAACACTTTGACAAATCTACGTAATAAACTAGACATACGTAGGTAAAGTTTCAGTAAGGATCCAAAATTGTTAACTCCCGAATAAAAAAAGAGACTTGGGCACGAATAAAATTATCAAATTTGATTGCTTCACTGTTGAAAATTTTTGTACTGCCCCACGTATGAGCGTATAAAAATTCAATCAGGACAAAGATTCGTCTCCCTCCCATTGCGTGTTTTAGCCTTAATTGCATGTACGCATAAACTGGCAAATGCCTACTAGAATCCGTAATACGCGCCATTCGTTCCCGGCAGTGAAATTACCATTTGAAAATTACATTGATCCCATTCCTGGGACCGCTCCTAGGCGATTACACCGAATTATATATAAAACGAAACCCCGCAATTTGAATACACATAACTTTATCGCGTTTTACACCTCCAAAATAAATTTTATAAAGCTCAAATTTGAATGAGCTCGCGACCACTCACGGTTACATCAAAATAATAATATGCCTCCCCTTCCACCGTACAAATCCTCTCTCTGTTCTCGGTTAGATATGAAAACGAGCGGATCATACACTGTGAAAAATCGGTGTGAGTGAAAGTAATAAAGGTACGGAGTGAATTCATTTTAGTGAAATTATCGAGTACATTTTTACTCAATATTGAGCATTTTGATAATTTTACTCATTTGTGATAATATTTGAGCTAAAACTGAGTATTAGTGTTACAGATAAACTCGTATTTGGTGGGCTTGTAGTTAAATCGGGGTAAATGTCCTCATTATTGAATGACCCCACCCCGTTCTATGGTTGTCGTGCGTTATCTTTGTTTATTCCCATCATCCCCATTAGGTCATCTCGTGGCGTGGTGTATGGCGTGTAGTACTGGACAAGTGTCCGTTAATCTGGTTATTTTGGTGAAAATTATGTTTAAATGTAGGGGATTGATTACAAATTAAAAGGAATAATAATAATATTTTCTCGATTAATATTTGGTTAAATAGACCAGGAAATCTAGCCCGAAATTGACCATTTCATGCACAATTCTTCGGTCAGGCTGATTTTTTGTGAGCAGATAATAAAAATACTGTAGAATAATATGTACCGCGGATACGGTAAAAGCGGACGACATTGCTTAAAAGTTGATCAAAATGTTTTTCGACTGTAACTTTTTTTCTGACGATTTTACAGAGAAATGGTAAAATACTTTTTTGTTCGCCTTTAAAAAATCTATAAAGCGACGTCTCTTTTTATTGGTAGATTTAACAAAAAGCTATCGAATTGTTTTTTCTCAAAAAATGCATTTTTATAGCGAAGGGAGATTATTTAAAAAATTTCCGTAGTTACAAAATTAAACACGCCCTTAATTTATAATTTTTTGTAGTAAAAGAGCATTGGAAAATCGAATGCTCGGCTGAGTTTGGAAAATTGTTTTATGTGATTTCTCTCTTGCCCGTACAATTAGTATTCACTGTACTGAGAGCACTGCTGCTGCTGATAAGATTATGTGCATATTTTTTTCCCTCCGCATTTTATTTATTCAACAATATACCGTCAACTTTGAAAGCCCATAACTCCTCTGTTTATTAACGAATCGTGACGAATCTTTTTTCAAATTATGCTCTTTTAGTACATGTAATAAAATACTAAAAAAATTATAAATTAAGGGCGTGTTTAATTTTGCAACTAAGGAAATTTTTGAAATAATTTCCCTTCGCTATAAAAATGCATTTTTTTGAGAAAAACAATGGAAGTCGATAGCTTTTGTACAGATTTATACAGATCGTTAATTAGTTAATTTGTTTATAAGGCCATAACTCGCGAAATAATCCACTTACGGATTCCGGCATTCGCACAAATTATTTATTTGCAGTGCAATGCACATGCAAGTTTGCAATGATTGAGTGTTATCCGAAGAAGCCTCTGTGATAATATCGCGTTTTATTATTGTTTATTTAAAACGGCATAATGGCGGTTTTTTGCAAGTAACTTTTGACCGGATTGATATTTTTTGACGCTTTGACGTCGTTTTGTAGATCTTTTAAAGACGAACAAAAAAATATCTTACCATTTATCTGTAGAACCGTCAGAGAAAAAGTTACAGTCGAAAAATGCGAATTTCTAATGTTTGATCAACTTTTAAACAATGTCGCCCGCCTTTTCAGCGTGCGGATACGATACATAATATTCTACACTATTTTTACTATCTGCTCACAAAAAATCAGCCTGACCGAAGAATTATGCATGCATACCCCTATATTTCTTGGTCTATAAATAAGCGGATAGTTAAATTGTTACCTATACTTACTTATGTATCTGTAACGTACAATATAGGTTATGGTAATCTAGTCGTCCGATCAGTTAACCAATTCCTTTAATCGAGACCTAAAATATTGCTTCTAAAACAGATCTGTGTAGCTTAATAGT